GCCATAAATTTTACCAACAAGGCTCATATTAAGCTCATACCCACAAGCTAATTGCTACATTTGCACACAAACTCTGAAACGTTCAATTCCAATCATTTTTAAGAAATACAAAAACAAAATTAAGTGAAAAATAAACAAAATGATATTGATTCAAGATTTTCGGTCAAGAAATAAAAATAAAAATATAAAAATAAAAATATAAAAATAAAAATTTAATGAATGAACGGAAAGCGGAGACCACGTTTTCAGAATGCGCTTGTGTGTGTGCGTGATATTTAATGCATGTGTGGGCACTGAATGTGCGTCTGCTGGATATGTGGGCGCGCACGTTCATATCCCAAATACATGCACGCGGGCATACATACAAACTTGTGTGTGTGTGTGAAAATGTCCACTTCAAAAAGAAATTTGTTCGCCGTCAACACAGAGAGACACTAGGCAGAAATCTGCAGCTGCACTTTCAATTGCTATTTGCTTTTATTAACTCCAATGCACACATACACAAGTACCATATGTCAGTAATTTGTGCTCACCTGTCAGCATGATCGCAGCAACGCGTGCTCATGCCCGCTTTAAAGCACTTTCTAAAGTCCAATTTAGTGGAAATGAATAAATGTAGATAAGACATGCATACTAACTATTGACAACTATTGGGACATTTACTGCTAACTTTCGCGTGTATGGGTGTGCAAATAGGAATATTTTTATATACATATGTATGTGCATACATCGTATTTGACTCGTTAAAACATTTGTTGGCATCGACGACGACGGCGGCATTTTCGCGTTTTTATAAAAACTTTTAACCAAGTCCAAGGAACCTCAAAGTTATGTGTTCTTATTCATGATCGCTTCTTCAATTCCTTATCTTTCATATGATTCGAAGATGTACATCATTGTATACAAGTTCTGCATGTATTGGTATACTGTAAGGCGCTGCAAAGGAATGAAATATTTTAAAGCAGATATCTGTATATCAGTAGACTGATAAGAGACGATTGGACTGCATTGGTGAGTTGGTTCAATTGTAGTCAGATACTGAAAGAAAACTTTAAAGTTGATTTTTTTAAATACCACCATAATATACGGCTTTAAAAAAGTGCGCAGAAGTACTTCAATTTAAGGGAGTGGGCTAATGTTCAAGAGATAGCGGCGAAGACTGCGGCCCTATATGATACGATGTGAAGATCAGCCTTTGGATAGATTTCGAAACATTTTCTTGTTATTTATTCGCATTCTTAGCAAGAAGCGCAATTGGTCATGCTTGAGTTTTGTAATCAGAATGAAAAAAAAAAAAAA